AAGATGAACGCCGTGTTTTACGGACTCGGTCCAGAATTGTTACACACATGTCATATTTCTAACAGGGCCCGTTTGGTGGCAGGGACGTTTAGCTGGAATTCAAGCCCTCCCGCCATAATCCCATGTATACCGTTCCCAACCGTTTTGTCCTGGGGCTGCTGAGCCAGTTCATTCTGTGTCATCTTAAGCGCCGCTGAAGGCATGTTAATCATTAATACTTCTGCGTAGCATAAATACATATTTTCCTTTCATATCCCTAAAACCATCTTGTGATCCTCCCAGATTTACCCTGGGACCCTTCTGTTCTTGGTCAAGGTCTTTTACTTTCAAATATCACACAAAAGACAACAACTTGACACAGGACAGTAAGTCCATCAGCCAGCTTTAAACATTTCTATAGAGACTCGTGTACTTACAGAACACCCAGTAAAGTAGAGAAAATCTTTAATTTACCACATATTATTGAATGTTTATTCAAGTACAGTGAGCTCATATGATATCTTGTACAACACTACAGTATCTTGTTTGAGTGATGAAATAAAACAAATCTGATCCTCCCTTACTACCTTCATCAAGGGCCATCCTTACACTTCCCGTCCTTTCGTATCATATACAGTTGTGAAATGAAATGTACTGTGCACATAGTTACATGACCAGACAACACAAAGAAACTGACCTATTTACATTTTTTTCTTTTCTCTCTACAGTTTTCTGCCATCCTTACCCCTACTTCTCGAATCGTATGACAGAAATCTTTAAAAAAAATTAAATAGGAATGGATTTCTTATCCGGATCCCCAGGCTGAACTATTCAGTATCCACGTATCCAGTCATCAATAAGCACAAGCTACTCACAAACACATGACCAGGAGGGGGGGGGCCGTGTAACAATAGAGCAGTGAGTTATGTCCACACCAAAGACAGAAACCAGATACCCGACCACGATACATTGGATGCATGCTCTTTCAGGAGCTCTCTACTTTTGATCTAACAGGTGTTTCAGTGCTTTTCAACTAGCTGCTTACTCATTTGGAAAAGGAAAAATACAAAAGACCGCAATATACCACACGCAATAATTATCTATAAACATGTACCACCACAAACTTCCACTGCAGACCCCCTGGAAAAGGATTTCAACCCCTACACAATTCCTCGCACCCCTCTCTGGGCAGCGTCGTTGCCGCCAGCAAAAAAAAAAAAAGGGAGCACCCCCCGGGGTATCCACTTTTCTTCAACTCATCCCCCCCCTGCCCTGCACATCGCCCCTGCACTCTCAGGGGCTAGGCTACCCTGGTGCTGCGAGGCGCGCCTTTAGCCGTATTCGTGGCGCGGCGCGCCAATCAAAAAAACAAAAAAAAATATACATATCGCACCGAAAAACGGGTCCTTACCGCTGGCAATCTTGGCGCCGGTCGTCTCTCGCACACCTCTGTCAGCTCAGCGAGCATCCCCGGAGAAAAGACCACCTCCGCCCTGCGCAGGGCACCGTCCAAGTTCTCTATCTGTTCTTCAGGCCCGGCCTCACTCTGTCGGTCTTCGTAGGCTAGCAACGCTGGACCGGGCCCCACACCTGCCGGCCGCCGTCAGCCACGGCCACCATCCCTTACGCAACGGATCCGGCCTTCAGCCCCCGCACAACGCAGGGAACCAGCGGAGGAGACGCGCATCGACAGATCCGCACAGACGATGTGCACACGATTCCTGAGACCCACACGAGTGTGAGACACCTGACCAGCTAGGAAGCAAAAAACCTTTAAATCAAGTCTCCAGCCTAGATGCAGACAAGATGCCGATACAGATGTCAGTCGGGAGAAAGCTACATAACTTGTAGTTTCTTCAAGATTTAAATGTCCTTTTTTGATACGCAGATATAGATACCGTCAGTATCTACATATACTACCTACTGTACAGTATATATACTATATACTATATATGGGTCATACTGGGTGTTTCTTACCTGTTGACAGTCGCACCCGCAGCTGGAACTCTTGTCTGCACGGAGGGTGTTGAGCTTGTTTTTGTGTGGAATCAGAGACTTTGCTCTCACTGCACGTTTCGCTGATTAGGTTGACAGGTGGGGCTAAAGTGTAGGCCGGGAGCTGGTAGCGGTTGCCCAGTTCATCATAACTCTCCGTGAGAGAGCCTGCAGAGGGAGAAATGACCTACATCAACAACGTGTTTCCAAAAAGCCTTTTCATCAGTAACAGCAACTAACTTTATACGTGATACACAAACCCCCCTCCTCTATTTCCAACCATTGTCAATAAATCAGAGGCCATCACATTTACATCATATTTACTTACATCACATTTACAACAACAACACCAGTGCCCTTGAGCTAGTGAAACGACTAAAAGCAAGAACACTATGCACGAACAGAGTGTTTTTCCACCTCTGTCATGGCTTTCTGTGCACCAATCCATTCACAGTGGTCACGCAGCACTGCGACTATTATGTAACTATTACAGCAGTAATCTCTGAACAACTGATGCATGGCCTTCTGCATACTGTCCTTTGACATTTTGAGAATTATTACAGTGAGTTATGCATTTGTGTTCCAGGACATTTACAGCTTACAGTTGGTAGCTAAATGAAGCACATATCTGAGAGAGGATGTGTGTGTTTATGTGCCTGTGGGTGGTTTCATACCGTGTGGCAGAGTAATGCAGGCTCCATCCACTATAGCCTGTGCTAGCTCCAGGTCATTGCACTCCGCAGCCAGGGCTGCTGCTCTGAGTGCGTCCCAGATCTCTTTCCGTCCATCAAAGGCCGGAGCCGTATCCCAAAACTCATCCCTCTTACTCCTCAGCTGGCCATCTGTCATCGGGTATTCACTCTTCCACTTTGGGCGCTCCTTCTTGAGGGGCTCATTACGTCCTGAAGAAAAAAAGAAGGCAGTGTTAAATCTGTTCTTAAGACTGATCAAAAGACTGTAACTCAACATAATCACGGCTAAACTCTGCTCGACAGTCATGCAAACAACTTTCAGTTTTTCTCTAAATGGGAGATTATAGGACAGTAAAACCAAGTAGCTGCTAGTATAGTAAATAGTAGTGAAGCTCTGATAAACCTACTGTAGAGGGTTGGCTCAGGTCACAACTGCTCTTTACCATTACTAAGAAAGAAGATATGTTTAACAAGAAATATTTTGTGTAATTCAAATGTGTTACTAAGCAGAGCTAGAATTTCTGGAAAAATAAATGACAAAAAACTTTTTTTTTAAGGTTTTAAATAGTTTTTGAACTTAAAGCCTCATCACTGATAAGTAAATATTATGAGCAGAACAAACATTTCCCAATATACTGTATGATAGAGTCTATGGAAGATACATTAGAGACGCTTAATGCGTCATATACTCGTGTAAACCCCAGTGAGGTCTGACAAGGACGAAAAGCTCATCTTAAGACTCCCACACTTAAGGATCTTCAGTATTTGGTAAAAACAACCCTTGAAAAGGCTCAACGTGTAGCCTGCACCCCGCTGCATCTGTGATTTTCATTTGTCAGAAGTCTCACAGCCCATAAATCAACCAGTTTTATACACCTACTGTAGGTGTTTCAACACTGGCATGTATGGAATATCCACTGTACCGGCATACCAAGAAAGTCAGTGTGATTCACAGAGGGAGGGAAATCAAAGTGATTATTTATAGTGTTGTGGATTACTGCAGTGGCTAGTAACACACACATGTGCACTGACATGCGCTCACATACACAAGCACACGCCAGTGGATTATAGGCAGTAATCAGGTTCCACATAACAGGATTTATCTGCCCCTATCCCATAAGGCATTGGTTGGAGAGATGAACCCTCTTTGGCCAATGAATGCAAGCAAAAACACTCGGGGACTAAAACAAGTCAGGAACAACAAAAACACGGAAATATAAACACAAAGCTACAAATTAATTATCACATGATCACATTTCTGAGAGAGAGTTGTGATGCAAAATGTTTCATAACAAGTCTGTTGTCTACATCTGTTTATTAAGCTGGTCATATGATACAATATGCACAGAATTAAATCATTTTCTATCCTTTAACAATGCGCGATGTTAAGTGTGACACCATGACCTTAGTAGATGAGGCGATGGCCTAAGAGTCACGTTGCCAGTTTGGATTCATCTCAGTTGCATCTGTGCCTGCGTATGTGTTCATTCAGAAGTACACACACTTACAAATGTTATAGTTTACATTTTATGCATTAATAGAAGGCAACATTGTAATATCAAATCAACTTTCTTCACATTTTCAAAGCCATTATTACAATAAAGCAGAAATCTGGAGAAAGTAACTGCTATAAAAAATTCTAATCTATATTTCCCATTGAGCTCCCCCCCCCAAAAATTCTCATGCACAAATTCGTGTTTGCATTTGTTATTGTAGACAGGCAGCTGCAAAGTTACAAAAGAGTCAGCCAGACAAAATGCTAATATTAGACGTCTGGAATCCTAACAAGCAACCTGACTGACAGCAAGGTATACTGAGATAATTGCAAGTTGCTCTGATCTGTTGTGATGACAAATGGCTTCAAGAAGTATGCACACGACAGTGACAGGAAAACAATTATCAAGCCTGAGTATCCTTAAACCCACTCAGAGACGATATGAGGCCAAAACCAATCCTTAGATTTCAGCTCTGAGGGTTCCCAAAGCATCTTAAGAACCAACATGGATCACAGCACGTTGCACACTGAGCTAAACATGCTTTATTGGAGCGTGTCCTGGTTGTACATACTGTAACATAACAACCTTTCTGGTTTGGTTTTGTGCTTACTAGAAATGAGGTGGATGTAAATAACTTGCAGTATATAATGTTATATCCACCTCACTGCTGTAGAGTCTGTGAGCCTGACTGTTTAAATGTTACTGTGTACAATGCAGCTTGAGTGTACAGAGAGATCGGCTTTGACAGTGTGTCATCATCTATAAGCCGACAGCAGCTACCTGGAACCTGAGCTTAGCAATTTCAAACGAAGTCAGTGGTTCAAGTTTTTTTCATCAAGCTTAAACATTCCTGATGGATGGAAAAACTGCCTCAAATCTACCAGACAAAGAACTGATTTAGTTTCATGTAAATGAAAGTTGGCTTTTATTATTGCTGCACCACTTCTATTTAGTATCCTAACAACTACCGTTACCACTATTTGTACTAGCTGTAGTATGTCAGTGTTCAGCTCGATGCACGTAAACAGCTCATATCGCCTCAATGCTGAAAGCTACATTAACTCCGAAACATTAGCATATAGTTGGGCGCCCGGTTAGCTCAGTGGGTAGAGCTGGCGACCCATGTACCAAGGCTGAGTCCTAGTCCTTGCTGCAGCGGCCCAGGGTTCGAATCCGACCTGCGGCCCTTTGCTGCGTGTCATCCCCTCTCTCTGCCCCCCTTTCCTGTCTGTCTCCAGCTGTCCTATCAAATAAAGGCATAAAAAGCCAAAAAAAATATACTTATAAAAAAAAAAAACATTAGCATATAGCTTAATAATCAATCATCTCCTAAATATGAGAACTGCAAACCTAATCCATCCAAGTCACATCAGTGTACTTTGCCATTAACGCATGGATCTCAGTAAGAGGCAGCAACATGGATGCTGTAAACTCTATTGTTACGACCTCTTTCTGTTTTCAGTAAACATTGTTTGATACACAAAATGCACAAGAAAAACTAAAAAACCCTTAACAACAGTATCAACAGCTCAGACAATCTTGAACTCAATATACACAAAACCCTCTGAGACAAATTATGCCAAAATACAGTGTGATGCACAAACATAAAAACATAAAAGCATTCCTTTCACCCAACACTAAAATCCATACTCACTTTTCAAAATCCTAAAGGGTGTGTTTGGAGCGTGATAGTAGTTGTATTCCCTTGAGTTTGGTACTCCCATAGCTGTGCTTTCCCTGAGGTTTGATGTGAGTCAGTTTAAAGTCAGCATTAATGATCGAACAGACGTCGACCCCGAGGAAGAGGACAGCTTTGTTGTGTCCAACCAGCTTGCCGCAACAATTGACAAGTCAACCACCTGATCTAGTTTTCCGCGACGTGCAGGCTCAGATTCAGAGCTCAGTTAACCGTCGTGACACTTCCCCAGTTGCTTAAAAGTAACCACGTCCCTCTACTTCTAAACCTTCTAATAACAAGTACTTCACTACCCAAAAATAACACAAGATCAGTTCATGGAAAGAAGCCTAATTTATGGGGAGAGTAAGTTGAGTGTCCCAGCCAGAAGGTAGCTTCTTTACACAACAGGTCTAATCCTATCAGTTCTATTTAGAGACAGGATAGAAATACCCAAAGGCAACATGTTAAACCTATTAACAGACAATAAACCCCTGTCAGACTATGGCAGTCTGTTGGAAGGAGAAGCTACTGTACCTCTTTGAACTGCCTCCAACAGGTGATCGTGTTTATTCACTGAGACGCTGCAGTTTATAAAAATACATGCAAATCTGTCCCTTACATGCTGGGTTTCCACAACAGAACAAAACTCAGTTTATTACAGAGGCCGTCTCGTCTGTGTTTGCCTCTCACCAGGGTAGACGGTTAGAGTCTATGAGGATGTTTTGACAGGTCATCAGGTCTGTCTTGCAGGTAAATGATCTCTCTCTGCATGTAAATATATTTTGCTGCAGGTCGACATCATGCACCAAGTAGGGCAAACTCTGATATGAAAACTGTTCCGTGCAGGCCCCGGGTTGCTGCTCAATACATAATGCATGACAATCCAGCTGAGTGCACAGCCGTTTTTTTCACAAAGAATGGATTGACCAGTGTTTATATAAAACACTGTCCGCTCGGGGAAGGTCCTCAGCACAGATTAGATACATGACTAAGCCATGAGGCCTGAAACATTTAACACCTGAGACAGTAAGCTTTCAGACCGAGACAAGACGTCAGTGCAACAGCAAGGAATCCTGTCTCCAAACCTGCATTTTATAATAAATGCATGAATTGTTAAAGGCCTCATCTGGCTGGTGCTGCATATGTATATATCCCTTTGCACTCTCTTGTGCAGGGTGTAATATTGTGAAAATTGCTGTGTTGTACTGCAAAGTGTCCTGGTATACTTATGTGTATGATGTGCCAGAGGATGTGGATTTAATGCACCACCACAGACGCAGTTTCTAATCTAATTTAATCTCATTTGTAACAGCACTCTCTGTATGTAAATAAAAGTAAGCTATAGACATAGTCTCATTACGAGTTTCTAGCTTAAGGACATTATATCTAATGCTTAAAGCTTATATTCGTGCAGCAAAGATTCTACTGAATCCAGAAAAATATCTAATATAAATATATATATATATATACAGTGTGTTCCAGCTACTTACCTCCACGTTTTTTGCTCCTTGTCGAGCTCCGGGCACTCCCTTGTCCATCCATCCTACTCCTTCCGACACAGCCTCCCATCACTGTCCCTGTATACATTCCACACCAAGGAGAAACATCACCTACCTACACATCTGCCACATATTGCCAAGTAAAACAAAGAGCTTTAAAATGCACATGTGAACATGTCGGTTACACAGTTAAAGATGGTGTAAAATGAAGGTGCCTTAAATGAAAAGCATCATCAGGGAATAATGACAGCTCAGCACTCCTTGTTCCTGTGAGGTCAGACGAGCGGCGGTGTTTACGTCACGTGTACTGCCAGCTGACGGGGACACGCGCCTGAACCTCACGCTCAACTATCTCTGACTTTTCCTTTTCACATATTTAAAAATAGAAACAAAATGTCCATGCACTATCACAATTATACACATACAATTTAAAATATGTACTTTGTATTTTATTCGTTATTGTTTTTTATTATTATTATTATCAGTATTTTATATCAAACACGAGCTCAGATTCATTTTGCCTACCGGAAATCCAGTCTGCTAAATTATGCATTCGTCTGCAGTTTGCTTGCCACATCCGAACTTGTTTCCCAGAAGTTATCCCTGGATCCTGAAGGCGACGACCAGCCGAAGGTGCGATCCAGCAGGTAGGACAGAAAACAAACCGGGAGCAGTGTGTCCGTGCAGGGATGGCGGGCTGGGAGACCAGTGTGGCCCTGCAAGAGCCTCCAGGGAACCTCAAGAGCTTCTCCCCCCCACACCCCAAAAATAAAGGCTGCAATCAATATCCGTATTCCCCCTGAAACATAGTGGATGGAGCTCACCCCTGCACAATCCGTTTGCACTGATCTAGAGTTAAATCCCTATCAGGCTGCACGCATGCGCACTTTTAATTAATTCTTCTATCCTGCGTCAAGCTCATTAAAATAAGAGCGGAAACTGAGATGTGACCCCTCCAGAATAATAGTGCGTATTGCAAAATAATGAACCAGTTAATGTGATTATGTTGACAAGCACATTTTTTATAATAATAAAAACAGTCATTACGATAAACAAAACTGAACTGGATTATTATCACTGAGTTACAATGTTACAATGTTTGTATATATATATATATATACAGTCAATGGTTTGTATGTAGGGCGTTAACATGGGTTTTAGCTTGAAATGCAAAGCGGAAGATGTTCTGTTTAATTATTGTTAAGATAAGATAAGTGGCTCATTGACGTTTCCCCCCAGCCAAAGTGCTTATCTGGCATTTGCAATAAAACACACACACACCTTGAGTTTCATTTATACAATTAATAAATTAACAAACCAGCTGTTGTTGTTGTTGGTTCCTCCTACAAAATCCCCATTTTAAGCAAAAGGTCTCCCCTCTTTAATGTAACTGAGCTATTTACAGTTTCATTGTAAATAGTGTGAAAACAGCCTGATACCCTGCAAAACTAAAAATCTGCCAGTTCAAATGTTTTTATTTAGCCAAAATAAAACCATCACCCTAAAACCTATATCGGATTATGTTGTATCTCGGTCTGGAAACAAGTTAATCCAGTCCAATTTAATCTACTCTATATAGCCTATCCTAGACATAGGTCTTTGGGCATTTATAGCACTTGCAGCTAATAGTAATAACAGAAACACCCCCCAATATAAATAGGTTCAGGAGTCTGATAAAGAGGAGGGTTACACTTTGCATTTGTAAAAAACGTCCGTCTTCCACAGAGAGTTGTTAGAAGTCCTGAAGTGTGTGTGGTGGAATACTTTTCTACACTCTAAAGCCAATTAGTTAAACTTGAGCCTGGCCTTCATGAAAACACTGAATCTGTTCAAGGGTGTATAGGGTTGTTACCATAGTGGCACATAATGAAGGTATGGACATCATTGCATCGTATAGATTATGCTTAGCTTAACCTTTGGACTTTATAAATCAATGCGATTGGTCGCCTGCAATCACAGCAGTTAGCACAGTTAGCAGAAAACATGAAACTCAAAATAGTGCAAGTGTAACACACAAGCATACACAAGTACCAACAGGAGAGGAAATGGTCAAAATAAATGAATAGTGTGCAGTCAGTTTTACATTAAAGTATGTTGTTTCCTAATTATTCTAATTTATTATATTCCAAATTGAATTTGCAGATGATCAATTATTCTTATCCTCACAACATACTGCACAGATTCTGACCAAACAGTGACATGTTGAGCACTGACATCTGCTGGAAGATTGAGTATTGACAAGTGTGTGTGTGTGTGTGTTTTGTGTGTCTCTGTGTGTGTAGTCAGTTTCAGATGGAGTGGGAGGATTTGAGGTAAAAGAGGGTTGGAACCAACTGAAATCTGTTATCATCCCTTAATCTCCTCTGTCTTTATCAGACAAACTCTGTCTCTTGCATTCTCCCTTTAACTCACAAGATCACCAACCATTTTCTAACTGTCTTCTCATCAAAGTCATTAAAAGCAAAAGATCTAATATTTTTTTCTTTGGGATACTTTCATGCCAGCAAGATTTTCCTCAAATTGGAAGGGAAATTTTAAATCTTCTCTTGCTCATTTGCTTTAATCTTTGTGCATCTCCACTAATGTAGCTGCTGGTTTTTGACATAAGATGTTCATATCAATCTGCAGATCAAATCTAGTAGGCATCTCAATAATCCTCCCTTACTAGCAGCATGTCGCTGGGTCTGTCTGCCAAAGCAACACTGTGACATAACACTGGAGCTGCTCAGTCATCTTAGGGCAATAAAACTGATAGATAATGAATTATAGTTTTTCATAAGTGCCATAAGTTTAAAGAGTTTGATGTATTAAATGCAACCTGTGTATGTGTAATAACAGTGAAGGGACATCTTTGGTAATAAATTAATACTCACTCACTCCAATTATTTAAATAAAGCCATTTATAAAGATTTATTAACTTAATTGGTACAAAATACAGATAAATAACACATTATCATGGAACTGTCAATTTCAAATGATAATATTGGACTGGAGTGTGCACATGGAAAAGGGAGTTGTAGGTGTTGGGAAGAACCATTATTTCCTAAATCTTATGTTTTTTCTTTTCTTAGAGATATTTTGCTTTAAAAAAAAAATTCATGATTCTAAATATACTTCAGTCCAATAATATGTTAGTCAGTACAAGTGATTTATAAAAATATCAAACCCGTCATTAGCTCACAGGCAGGTAAGACCCGTTTGTAATACTCAGTAAAACAAGAGAGAGAACAAACCGTTCAAAAATTGTAGACTGTCCTTGAGCAATGCCGCAGCTGGTTTTTGAGGTATTGGAATTTGATATGACCCCATTTCTTGAGCTGTAAGGAGCCACCATGCAAGGATCCTTTAAGTCAACCAGAGCAGGTTGGACACAGCAAAGACTGCTGAAAATAGGCTACAAGTATGCCGTCTGTCATACAGGTATTAGGTCCTTTTTAACTGGGAAGACGTCCCATTTCAAACCATCACAAAGTGGCGTATGTCCAGAGGGAAGTAGAACACGCGTCAGCCAGTGACTACAGACAAAACAAAAAAACAGAGGTTACAGGAAGTACAAGGTAGCATTGTTCATATCTGATGTATGGACACCTTCATAGAAAATCATTACAAACGTCAGTGAGACACACCTTCTCTTCTCCACGCCAAAGAAGACTTTCCAGTTATTCAGGCTGCCGTAGTTGTAAGGGTTTCTGTACACCTGCCAGAGCAATTTAAGAAAAAGAAAAGGAGCAATTAAAAACATATGTAAAAAGGTCACCGGCATTAAATTTATGGTTTGTTGCTTATCATAAAAAAATGTCTAACATGCTCACCTTCCCTCGATTTGCCATTCGCTTTGTTTCTTTGCTGTTAATGTGTCTTTCTATGCTCGTCTCTCCCCTAGATATAAGAACTGCATGCCAAAGAGTCAGAGCTCCCAGAGCCACAGCCACCGTGCTAAAAGAACAAAACACATTTTATTTAATCCGCTGCAAAGATAATCTATACTACATACACTGACAGTTAACGGTATGTAATTTATAGTATGGTGTGTTGGGACTTGGTATGAAAAAAATCCAGTGCAGTTTATTGTTTTGTACTAACAGGAAGCAATAAAATATCCTGTCAATCAGACTGCGAATGTCTCTGTCATAGTTGACATATAGGAAACGTTTAACACTTTTGGGTTTTACCTCCATCCACGTCTTTGTTTTTTTGTGAAGTCGATTTAGATTTATTTCATACTCTTACATGAACAAGACCTGTTTTTAAATTAATTGGCATGGTCCTACGTATGGCAAGTGGCAGCATGAAACACATTTTACCTGGTAAGCACCCACATGTAGATGATGCTCTTATGAAACATCTTATCCTTAAAGGTGTACGGAGGAGCAGATGTCTGATAGTTGGTCTACAAAAAGCACAGATTACATTACTAACAGATATTAAAAACACATCACAGCTTAAGCATGTTATTGTGCGTGTATTTATCAGATTGTACCTGGCCAGGAGGGAGAAGCCCTATAAGAAGTCCCATCCCTGTTACTGGTACCCCTGGCTTGTCCGTGTCCAAATGCTTAAAGCGCTAATGGAACAGCCCGCGTACACAAACCCGAGTGTTAAAGACAGAAACAAGGCAGCGTCAGTCAGGAACAGTTAAGCCCCGCAGAGAAAGACACCAGACATGGAGGAAAATTAACAGACAAAACCTAACAAGCCTTACAAGGACAAAACGCCAAGCAGGCCAGCACCAACGGTCCAACAGTGTGGTGTGAGTTTGAGCATCTCACCTCAAGCGCTTTGTATGCATCTAGGAACAGGTTTCTGCCGCTGATGCTACAGTAGACACAGCCCAAGGTCAAGAAGAGGCAGAAGGAGAAGAAGTAACGGTGGTTAAAGTGACCCACGCAGTTATTCAACCAGGCTGAGATGCTAACATTAAGGAAGATCTCTTCATAGTCACATAATTATAAGTCACACATTAAATAATGTTAGCACAAAAGGATACGACAATGATGATCCATTTTCAGAATGCACCTGCAGAGGAAAAAGAAAATGATCAGTCTCATACTGTCCCATAAGTCCTTTGTATTCCACTAAACAATCAACAGGATCTTGGTCAACCAAGTAAATGGCATGGAGACTTACAGGTGGCAGAAATATATGCTGATTTAATTGCAAATACATATCAATATTTGCTCGGAAAAGTCCCCAAATGACGATATTTTAACTCAAAAACATTATTGT